TTCTGATACGACGTGCCTCTTCGAGCTGTGCTCTAACATCGTTCACCTGGCGGTCGGCATCATCCAACTCAACTGCCGCTTCTCGTGACCGGACTGAGGCGGCCGTCTCTGCAGACGTGTGTGACCTGGCACGACTTCGAGCGTGACGGGAGGTGGCAGCTGATGACTTGGCTTCATCCAACCCCTGAAGATACTCCTAGATCTTCCCTTGAATAGCCGACTCTTCTTCTTCAAGATTATCAGCGTATCCCTGAGCTTCGTCCAGTTCTGCGTCATTGAGTTTGCTTTCATACTCCTGATGAGCTTTTCTCAAATCAGAAAAAGCTTCTTTCAGCCTTCCGTTTACCTCCTGGATGTGATCGCGGTTCCGCTGTCTTGCTATCTCTGCTTCTAACACCTTGGACACCCTCGTCACGACAGCCCTCTTGATACCACGCAGTCGTCGCAGATCAGCAAGCTCTTGATCTCTAACATCCTTGAAAGCTCCATCTGCAGTGGGATCGGGCCGTTTGACATCCTTTGCCTCTTCTTTTTCTATCCCCATCTTCTCCTGTTCAGCTCACTGGGTCGCAATCCGGCCCGCGGAGGACCAGAAATGTCGCCACGTGTCCTCTGGTATTTCACACGCCAACGACACTTATTTAGCCGGATGATAGACAAGGACTGTAGGAGAGCGATGGGTAGATAAGGATGGTGAGGAAGACGCCAGCCGCTGCCCGATTCCAGCCTCTCGATGGCGAGACCACTGTAATCGGACAGATCAACCGATACTCCGGCGCCTCGATGGCAAGGTTAGCCGGAGCCGACTGGTCGCACCCCTGTCTGAGCGGAGACCCCGCACCCGAGCCTCGATGGCAAGACCCGGGGAACGAGTTTAAGCTCAGTAACTCGATGGCGAGACACTGTGGCCGCCTCCCTCACACACCCCGGAAGAGGCCGTGTTATGAGTCCCGGATGGAAGGAAATGATCGGCTACTCGCACGCTGAGAAGACTCGCTGCTGTTCACTGTCCCGTCCCTTTTTCCACTGGTCCAGCTCCTCTCCACACCAGTTAAGATATTTCACTTGCTGTATTGTGCACCACCACCACACCACAGCCAGAGCACCACTTCCGCCCACACAGCGAGCACTTCCCCGCCGAGCATCCAGAACGAACTCCCCTCGAGCCCCGTGCGCCGACCCGAGGTCACCTCACCGGCGCCCCGAGGGCAGGAGCCCACACAGCCAATCACGGGGCCGCTTACAATGAGCCAGCTCAGTGCCGGCATAGCCCCGAGCGCCACGTGGTCGGCCGGCCGCCGCATGGCCCGCTCGGTGGTCCCGGGCGGCCCGGCCTGCAGCTGCCGGTGCTAACAGAGCAATTGAATGCACTTTTCCGCGAAGATATAGCTCTATTGGTCCCCGAGGTAAGGGGCCTGTTTTTCGAGAAATGTTGATATATGCAACATTTTACCTTTGATGAACTCTGGTGACGTGACCTTTGACCTGACCTAGAAATGACTAATTACCCTATCTGGAACTTTGGGCGCTCCTTCGAATGCCACTTACTACGTGTCGCTATGTGGCACAGGAGCCGAGTTAGAAGGGGAGTGTTCAATCAACACCTCCCGTCCCGGCGCGTTTGACGCCGAGGACCGGTCCGGCGCGGGTTGATGTTTGGCTGCTACATCAAAAGTCGCAAAAAGTCGCAAGAAATGACTGTTGGATCTTGTAGTGCAATGACTCATTGACATGTAGCGAGATTTTCGAAGCGGTACTTTGCGGTACTTTTTTTTTTAAATCTTTTTGTGTGTGACATCAATTATGTGAAATTATATTTTCGTCTTGAAATCTTTGCGGTGCAAATACATCATAACCAAGTAAGAGTTCGCCATTTTCATGTGGTTATGTGTGTTTTGCAGACCCGGAGCTGTCGTTTGATGTATATAAATGTGGAATTCCTCCTCAAGTTGTGATTGTTTTCGTGGATCAAAGATACGTTGTCGAAGAGTGCGGGGACAAGTTCGGTCCAAACGATTCCGAAGTTCGTGTTTAAGCTGAGTTTTCTTCATGAAATAGCAATTGTGTTTGAAAACAAAGACCACAGCAATGTACATATTATGATCATTTTTGAACAAATTGGTATAGGTTTCATTGCACATTCACAACGTTCGATTTTTTTGCCCATGTCGTGCTAGACCTGGCGATCCGCCCAGTGTGCGATGTACGTAATTTTGTAGAGGCAGTTGGAACGCGATGCGGCGAAACGAAGCTATGGTTTATCTTGATTATATATGTTCGACAAAGGCCAGTGGCCGAAATATCACATATTTTCTATCAATACAGTACATTTTTCGGCACTTTTTTATTCAATATCGAGGAAAGGTAATGCTAATATATTTTCGATGGGAGAAAACTGAAATGCGCCGCTTTTGGACGGAAGCCATTATAAACACTCCCAAACACCAAATTACAAGTAACTTAGACACACTGAGCATGAAAATGGTGCCCGGGACCCCTGTTTATGACCCTGAGGTCATCTCAGGTCACGAATGGTATCTAACAGTTTTTTCGCAAATAACTTTTGATAGAGCCATTCTAGAGCGATGTGTACAGCTCGACGACACGGATCGCCTGATATGCAACATGACCATTTTCAGTCAAGTTCAAGTGAAGCGTCTTGACGAGAGGAACACGATGCCCTTAAAAGTAACATCGTGCAAGGCTTGGATCAAAAGTTACTGCAGAAAAAAAAAACTGTTTAAAAAATCGGCTGTTTTGGCAGCTTTTGCTTCCTGCAGGCAAAACCGTTGACGTTAGGTCAAATCTGAGAGAATTACTCAGAAAGGGCGGCTAGGGCTATCGAATGCGCTTTTCTGCGACGCTGTAACTCTATTGGTTCCCGAGTTATGCGTTGGCTTCTTGAAAATTGTCGACATTCGACCTGAAAATTGGTGAAATTTTGCCTTCAATGACCTCTGGTGACATGAGCTTTGACCTAACAAAAAAGTGACCGAAGTGATTTCGTCATTATTTTGGCGCTCTTTCGAACGCCGCCTTCTGCGTATCACTTCGTGGCCCAGCAGCCGAGTTAGAAGGGGGTGGGGTGGGGTTCCAACACCCCCACCCCCAGCAGGGCGTGGAAATCCAGGACCCCGGCCCCAGTGGGGGGCGGGTTAACCCTCGCCGGCCGAGGGGGGGGGGGAGCGGGTGCCGCCCCCCATAGGGTTTTTTTTCGCGATAGCTCCGAACACGCTGGCGATAGAGAGCTAAAACTTGGCATACCTGACCTTCAATTCAAGCCGGATCTTTTGACACCAACCGAATTTTTAGGTCAGGTCAGGTCACTGACCTATGACGTCATAAGTGAACCTCTGCACGGTCTTCAGATGTCGCAACTTCGCAACGCCCTCACTGCCAGAGGAGATGTCACAGGGAAATGAAACTTGCAGGATCTAGTATCCATTATGAGCCTCGCAACTTGTATATCTCGGATTTTTCCTAAAGGTCATATGAGGCCAGGTCATTTTCGTGACCTCACCTTTATAAGTCAATGGGGAAAAATAAAAACTGCTATTCTGGCGCCGGGAACGATTTCCAACTATCTCAAGCACACAGAATCGTGATTTGATGCACTCCTTGCAAGGTTAGATGCGTCACTTTTGCAATGTTGACCTTGCGTGACGTCATTTGTGACGTCATCAAGGTCATATTAGTTTTTCGTCAACAACTCTTGATCAAATTGAGCTAGCGAGTCGGGAAAACCACCAATGGACTCAGGAAGACCTGGTGAATCGACTGATATGCAACATGACCTCCCTCGACCAATTCGTGACCTGGGGGCGCTGCCCTGTCTGTGACCCGAGGTCAACACCCTAAGTTGACCTCACCCAAACAAAAAGTATATCATTCGAACGTATACGGCGCACACGCCCGTTTTTTCTGCAACGTGCTAGCCCCCCCCCCCCCCCCCCTCTTGGCCGGCGCGTAGTTATGTAGAAAGCCAATAGGTCCGGTGAGGGGTAAGCTAGCACCGGGCCCTCGGGCCAGCGGAGGCAGGGGTAGCCAGTAACAGTTGGTAGCATTAGGCCAAATGGGCGCTCAAAAACTGCTGCCCCATAGGGTTTCCATGTTAAATCGACCTTTTTCAAGCGAGCCCCATACGTAAGCTAGAAGATAAAATGCCAATATTATGGTGGGGAAAGGTAGCCTCAAGCTTCCTCTACAACCTTTCTATCTAGCGTTTTTCGATGCGGAGGCCATAACAGGTCCAAAAAGCATTGGGCGCTGGCCGAGGTACCAAAAGCCCCTCCATGAGAGCACAAGATCCTGCTCATGCGCACATTGCCTCAACCCTGTACTAGCGTACATTAGTGATACTGCTCACGGACTCGATCAGCCAATCAGCATCACTGATTACATTCATAGATGTCGCTAGTATCACGTAAATCCTGCTTGCGAACACATTTTAAGAATGAAACAGCTGCGCCATTTCCGCCTTCCATAGATTCCTTCCATCTTAGTATCAACTATACGCTTTTCAAGTAAAGACTAAGTTTTAAACTACGGTTAGTATGTTATTTCTGGTACATATAATTTAAAAATAACTGCTTTATGAATTTGGCTTTACTCTTCAGAATGGAGTGCTCTATTTTTTCCATATTCAAAAAATATATCACCTACCACCTAACTCATCCAGGTAAAATGGGCGCTTTCCGCGTCGTTGGTGTACCCGTTGTTCTATATACCCTGAGCGGAGGGGCCCCTTTGTCAAGTTGCCCTCCCCCCCCCCCCTCCCCAACGCCAAGTCTGCGACCGCCCCCGACAATTTTGGGGGATGTGGTGCAGCTGTTTTTATTCATTTTTACTTTTTGCTTAATTTTATTTTATTTTTCGCCTTCAGGGGAAGGGGCATGGCCCGCGTGCTACGTCCCTGCCCCCCCCCCCCCCCGGCTACGTCCCTGGCCGGCCGCAGCAACAGGAGTCTCGTCTGACCGTGTGCCATTCGCCTCTCGTCCCCAGCATATGTATCGTGGTGATGATCTTTGTCAACTACGGCGGCGGCCGGTACTGGTTCTTCCGACACGCTCCCTGGAACGGCCTCACGGTGGCCGACCTGGTGTTCCCCTGGTGAGACTTAGCAGGCACCGCGCCCCACCGACTTCGTGAATTATTTTTTATTTTTATTCCAACATTATTGGAGAACAAGTGCAAAACAGAGACAACATGAAGTTATCCCGCACACTCGCACTCATCACAAAAAACATGGAGCCGGCATTCATGCACATTGGCATAGGAACGGCTTGAACATTGTGGGCTCATGGGTGCAGAAATTCACTGCCATAGACGTTGGGGTGAGGGTAGGGAGCCCCACTGGGTATTATGTTCCCTCTCGACTTTGGTAGGTATGTATCGCGGCTCGCTTCCGATATAGGAAAACGGTTTCAAGGGGAGGCTCGTTGTGAGCTTCAAGGGGGTGTTCCGAAATGTAGAATTATATTGAACATTCAGATAGGTACCTAAATTACCCCGCCCCCCAAAAAATTCAATTTTCTGTTCCTCTCGTCACGGGCAACACGCTAATTTTTTCTAGCTCGATCAGAGGCCAAAGGGCAAGGAGGTCCAACGGACCCCCCCCCCCCCCTTCTTATACGTTCGCGGCTGGCAGAGCACCAGTACGGGCGAGGGTTAAACTTACAATATTCAAACACAACAGCTCGGTATACTGAAAGCAGCATTGTTCCCGAGCTCAGACAGAGCTGCATGGCATACATGGCCGACCGAACCATAGCATATGTGTGTGCAGTCGATCCGCCTACGTGCTGTGCCCCTGCACAACGGGGCCCATGGGGAGAACCTGAACTGGAGCTGCTGTTATTACAGAGCTCGGCGTTTGGTTCCAAAGTACTGTCATGGTGCTATTATGCCATTTCATTGACAATGTATCAAGGTCACTTGTTTGGCTAGAAATGTGACGCTCTGTCCACCCTGTCCACAGGTTCATGTGGATCATATCCGGCCTGTCCACGGGTTCATGTGGATCATATCCGACCTGTCCACAGGTTCATGTGGATCATATCCGGCCTGTCCACGGGTTCATGTGGATCATATCCGGCCTGTCCGCGGGTTCATGTGGATCATATCCGGCCTGTCCGCGGGTTCATGTGGATCATATCCGGCCTGTCCGCGGGTTCATGTGGATCATATCCGGCCTGTCCACGGGTTCATGTGGATCATATCCGGCCTGTCCACGGGTTCATGTGGATCATATCCGGCCTGTCCACGGGTTCATGTGGATCATATCCGGCCTGTCCACGGGTTCATGTGGATCATATCCGGCCTGTCCACGGGTTCATGTGGATCATATCCGGCCTGTCCGCGGGTTCATGTGGATCATATCCGACCTGTCCACGGGTTCATGTGGATCATATCCGGCCTGTCCGCGGGTTCATGTGGATCATATCCGGCCTGTCCACAGGTTCATGTGGATCATGGGCGCCAGCATGGTGTTTTCTCTGCGCAGCCAGATCCGCCGCTCCGTACCAAAGTACGTGCAGGGTACAGACCCGACGGGACCGGGGGGGGGGGTGCAGACCCGACTGGACCGGGGGGATACAGACCGGTCGGGCTGGGACCGGTCGGGCACAGACGTATCTGTGTGACGGCGCTGCCCTGGTGTGTGTGTGTGTGTGTGTGTGTGTGTGTGTGCGTGCGCGTGTGCGTGTGCGTGTCAGCCGTCTGCCGTACTCTGTACTGTGTGTGTGTGTGTGGCCGGCCAGGTGTCAGATCTGGGTGTGTGTGCGTGTCAGCCGTCTGCCGCACTCTGTACTCTGTACTGTGTGTGTATATGTGGCCGGCCAGGTGTCAGATCTGGGTGCGTCTGGTGCGCCGCGCCGCGCTGCTCTTCCTGCTCGGGCTGGTGGTCAACTCGGGCTCGGCGCAGAGCGGCTGGTCGGCCGGCGGCCTGCGCGTGCCGGGAGTGCTACAGCGGTTCGCAGTCTGCTCACTGGTGATCGGCACTCTGCAGCTACCGGCGCTGAGCGCGGCCGAGCCGCTGACCCAGGTCAGAGCCGCCGGCCGTGGACGGGGGGGGGGGGGGGGAGCTCTGTGCTGTTCTCTGACCCGCTCTCTGCTGTGGGGCGTGTTGTGTTGTCTGTTCTGAGCTGGTGTTGTCGGCCGGCAGGGCTGGCGGCTGGCCTGGCTGCGCGACGTGACCTGCTGCTGGGCTCAGTGGCTGGCCGTGGCGCTGCTGGCGGCCGCGCACACGGCCATCACGCTGCTGCTGCCGGTGCCCGGCTGTCCGCGGTACGTCCCTCACCGGAGAGGCGCGCTCAGTCTCACAGCCTGCCGGTGCCCGGCTGTCCGCGGTACGTCCCTCACCGGAGAGGCGCGCTCATTCTCACAGCCGCCAGAGATGGTCGGCGCCGGCTTTCCCATGCTCTCTGTGGCGCCCACCTCGCGGCCCCAGCAGGGCTAGATGGCGTGCGGGAGCGTCCACCGTACTAGTACCCTCTGTGCCCCCGTGCTCAGCGGGGCAGGGTAGGCTGGGGCAGTTTGAACATATTTTTACGTCTTCTCCGTCGTACGAAATTCCAGCTCAGTCCTGGATGAAGAAAAACTTCAGTAGCGCAAGTGTCAATTACTTTCACCATGCAAGCCTCATTTTTGGACAAGCCGAGCACACCTTGAAAAGCATGGCCTCACTTCTCCACCAAATCACGGTGTGTTCAAATTGCCCCACCGTGGGGTAATTTGAACATGCTGCCTTGGCATGCTATAAAAACGATAATCTCGCCAGCACCGATGTTGTTTGATCCATAAACAAATAGGCAGAACAGTGCTAAACATACCTTCATTTGAAAAATCGACAGAACAACAAAAATAACGGTTGCAGAGAATCCATATCTGCACGCTGCACACCGCTCAGTTGGCAAAAGTCGCCTCTCTTCAATTAACAGAACGTCTATCACTTCCGGTCGATACAAACCCTCCCAACCTTACTTCATCTGTTATGTATGATTTCAAACTTTTACGACTAGACATTGTAATTCAACGCACGTTTTTTGGCTACTACGCGTTTTGCAAGCGTGCGCTGTGTTCTGGCCTCTAGTCGTTTATTGTTTTCGTTTCGAATTTTCGACCTTCGCATCGAGGCTGTTGTCAGATTGTTGTATGTTTCTTGACAACGGCCTCGATGCGAAGGTCGAAAATTCGAAACGAAAATAATAAATGACTAGTAGTCGAAAAACGTACGTTGAATTTCATCTGTTATATTGGTGCCAATCGGAACCTGGACATTCGGAGTTCAGATTTTGTCCGATGTCCAATTCGGAATTGGCTGAACAAAGGCAGCAGACTGGACAACATTGGACGATGGCTTGCTACACTTTAGCAATTTTAGCAATTTTAGAAAGTAATCGTGCATAGCGTTGATTGGCGAATGGAAAGCTGAGTGAAGCTCTCAACATAATAAACAGTTTTCGGCTGGTAAAATTACATAATAAACAACGTAAATGACAGTTTTGAGCATAGATTACTGCGCAATTTTCGGACATATTTGGACAAATGGCTGATTTGAACATTTTTGGACGGAAAATCAACGAAAATGCCGGACATTGGACGGATATTACACACAAATTTTCTAAAACTAGCATCACTTATCTGCAACTGCTTTGGGTCGAAGATATTGGCAAAAAACTAGGAACGTTGTTTTTCGGAGTTATCCCTGTCTTCATTGAATTGATCAGACTATGTTCAAATTACCACACGCTTAACCTGCGCCGGGCCGGGGGGGGGGGTGTTTGAACAGTGAACACCCCCTGCGGTTTTTCGCAGATACCTCCAAAACGGCTCCGCGCCGCCGTTTTTGGCACACCTGTTCGTGCATCTTTTCCGCACATGTTGTGAAAATTGTAGACCCAGGTCCCCTTAGGTCAGGTCACCAGGTCACGCCAACTGACCTCATCTCAGAAAAAAATAAGAAAGCTCGTCATAGCTACACCAATTGATCGATTGCCTTGATTTTTTCAGCGATTGATTAAAGCAATATTATCTATAAAATTTATATCTCGGAATTTTGATATCGGTGACCTAAGGTCAGGTCAATTTTGCGGCCTTCTTCTTCTTCTGTTGTCCGGCGATTCCGGCGGGCCGATCATCGGGCCTCCGGCAGGAGGCCAGTCCTCCTGAAGAACCTCAGCACCGCGTCCGGGTCCTCTTGTAGCACCGTCAGTGTCGGGGTGTGGCCGAGGAGCGCAGACCGCGCCGCCTGGTATTTCGGGCATTCACAGACCACGTGTTCCGTGTCCTCCGGCACGCCACACTCGGGACACAGGCCGTCGGTGTCCGGCCTGTTCCATCTGGCTAGTGTGGCTTGGAGCAGTGGACAGCGGTTCGCTCGCAGCTGATGGAGCAGAACCTGGTCCCGTCTGGCCCATTCACTCTCATACTTCAGGCAGCGCCCGTCCGTCGCTCTCCGGTGTGTGTGCTCCGGGGGCACGGTGGTGTGGTACGTGCCAGACCATTTCTTCCAGCACACACCACGGATGGCCACTTTCGCCGACGGGAGGTCGATCTTGGCCGTTTCTTGAGGGAGGGTCCTTCCGGTGTTTGCAGCCTGATCTGCCTGCTCGTTTCCCGCGATGTCTGCGTGGCCAGGGATCCAGACGATTTGCACGTTCATTTTTCTGCGACTGAGATGGTTCAGGCCTGTCCATATCTCGGTAAGGGTTTCTGGGGCGGGCCCTCTGGTACCCTGTTTGAGGAAGGTTACCAGTGAGAGTGAGTCGGTGCACAGGCGGGTCGTCTTGACTTCCTTTGGGGCTCGCGTTGCCTCGGCCTTGCTCGATGCGGACAACTCCCCCTCCGCCAACTCCAAACCCCTTCTCCGTGGAACCGTCAGTGTAGTAGGTTGAGTCCGTGGGCGGCAGGGATTCCAGGACGCGCTCTGCTGCCGCTCGCCTTCTTTCCGGTGGATCATGTCTGGAGGTGGTGTCACCAGATTTTGCGGCCTCTCCATTATAAGTCAATGGGAGAAAAATGAAAAGCGTCTGTTTTGCCCGAACGCTATTCTAGACACTCTCAAACATCGAGATGTTGGTAAAATTGACACACTGAACCGGAAAATGGCAACTGTGACCTCTCGTTATGTCCCCGAGGTCATCTCAGGTCACGAACAGAATCTAACAGTTTTTCGCTAATAACTTCTGATAGAGGCGTGCTAGAGCGCTGAAAACGCCTTTAATGTGTTCGGCTCGACGTTGCGGATCGACTGATATGCAATATGACCTTTTCCGGTCAGGTCATGACCTTGACCTGCGGTCAAATTTTCAAGTTGACCTTTCAAGGTCAAATTTTAGTTCATTCGACGCGTCTCGACGAGGGGAACACGATGCTGGCAAAAGTAATGTCATGGCTCTTTTAAGTCGAAAGTTATTGCCGAAAAAGAAAACGTTTTCGTAAAAACGGCTATTTTTGGAGTTTTTGCCCTCTGGAGGCTAAACCGTTGACCTGAGGTCAAATCTGAGAACATTAATCAGAAAGGTCTGTAAAAGGGCTATCGAATGCACTTTTCCGCGGCGCTGTAGCTCTATCGGTTCCCGAGATAGCCGTCGGCAGTTTCCAAAATGTTGAAATAGTCAACGTTTGACCTTTGGTGACCTCTGTTGACCTGACCTTTGACCTGACCCAAAAAATGACCGAAGTGTTTTCGTCCTTATTTTGGACGTTCTTTCGATTGCCGCTTACGGCGTGTCGCTACGTGGCCCAGGAGCCGAGACTGTTCAGACACCCCCCCCCCCCCCGGCCCGGCGCGGAATCTCAGAGCACCGGCTCGGCGCGGGCTAAAGCTTTTTTGCCATATTTAAAAACAGGTTTCAAAAGCAAATTTCTTAGATTAAAGGCACTTATCAGTTCATTGTACAACAAAAGCCGTTGCGTATTAGGCGCTAGGAAGATTTCGCGCTGCAATGGAGTTGCAACGACGTGTTGTTGGGTGTTTTTACTTGCGAAATTGATTTTTTACAGTGTGCGTCAACATATTTATTCCCTGTACCTTTAAACCCCATTCATATGATAGCTCTGTTAGTTACGATAATTTCCCTCATTGGTCTTATTGTTGTGCCGCTTATCGATTTTCCATAATTTTGTGTTATTCATATTATGTTAAAATTGCCCCACCTCACAGTGGGATTTTTTCGATCTAACGCGTGTTATTAAAAAAAAAACATTTTTTGTTTTTTGTTTATTTTTTGCGTCAGTGGGGCTAAGCAATGTTTGAATTTTTCATATATGGTATTGTGTTATCTGTGTATCTACTCTACAGCCAGGCACGTATGCAGGATTTCGCTCAGGGAGGGGCGACAGCCAAGAAGGGCCCGGAGGTCAGCTCAAGGGAGCCCCACGGCGACTGCTTATCCTGGTGTGAAAAAATCGAGGTCAAAAACAGTAAATATACGATAGAATTCGAGATGTTGTAAATGAAATGCATTGTCTTGCGTTTGTCAACCTTGATAAAATGTTTGCAGTTATATAACTTCAGTTGAAGATCGTTTTTGCAATTCACTTCCTTTGAAGTTCGTTAACCCACGCCGTGCTGGGGGGAGCGTTTTCACGACTCCCCTCAGGTTATTCGTGAATATTTTTTGTACACCTGTTCATACTTTTTTCCGCACATGCTGTGAAAATTTCAGACCTGTGTCGTTTAAGGTCAGGTCACCAGGTCACGTTAAGTGACCTTACCTCAGAAAAAGTTCAAAGGCTTGCTAATCTAAACCCTCTAAAACATCGGTTCATAAGTAAACATGACACACTGAATCAGAAATTTGCACCTGTGATCCCTGTGTGCCCCCGAGGGCATCTCAGGTCATGAAAGGTCACCAGCAGTTTTTTTTTACTATCACTTTTGATAGAAACGTGCTAGAGCGGTGAAAACACGTCAGCTGTGTTCAGCTCGACGATACGGATCGACTGATATGCAACATGATCCTTTCCGGTCTGGTCATGACCTTGGCCTGAGGGCCTGAGGTCAAATTTTCAAAATGGCCCTTCAAGGTCAACGTACCTATAGCTCATTCGACGCGACTCGACAAACACCATTAAAATGCAAAAAGTTAAAAGGGATAAAAGTCAAATGGAAGAAAGTCGAAATGTATTAAAGTCAAAACGTCAAGAAGTCAAAAGTCTAAAGTCATCTTTTTGCTTATTTGACTTTCTGCTTTTTGACTTTTTGTCTGCTGGCTTTTAGCGGATTTGACTTTTTGCCATTTGATTTTTATATTTTTGACTTTTTGTCTTTTGACTTTTTGTCATTTGACTTTTTGTCTTTTGACTTTTTGTCTTTTGACTTTTGTCATTTGACTTTTTGTCTTTTGAGTTTTTGTCTTTTGACTTTCTGTCTTTTGACTTTCTGTCTTTTGACTTTGTCTTTTGAGTTTTTGTCTTTTGACTTTCTGTCTTTTGACTTTCTGTCTTTTGACTTTTTGTCTTTTGACTTTTTGTCATGTAATCGCTACGTGGCCCAGGAGTCGAGTTAGACGCAAATAGGGTGGCCTCCGTTGACCACATGCTTAACTGCTATCACAAGTTATCGCACGGCGACCGCCGTCCCCCCTCCCCCATACTTCCGTAACCACTCCCCTCGCCCCGCTGCGCTGGCTGCCACCGCGTGTCGAGCTTCGGTCAGTGCTAACAGTGGCTCTCAAATTTTTTCGCTCAACCGCGGCTGGGACAAGTGACGCCCTCCCCTCCGAGTCGCGATACTTTCAAGAGAGTTTATTCGTATGCCTGGGCGTGGTCTGACTACCCCGCCTGTGCTTAGGGGGTACCTGGGCCCGGTCTGACTGTACCCCCCCCCCCCGGTGCTCTGGGGGGGTACCTGGGCCCGGTCTGACTCTACCCCTCCCCCTCCCCCCTTGCTCAGGGGGGTACCTGGGCCCGGTCTGACTATACCCCCCCCCCCCCCCCCCCGCCTGTGCTCAGGGGGTACCTGGGCCCGGGCGGTCTGGCAGATGGCGGTCGGTTCGCCAACTGCACGGGCGGCGCGGCCGGCTACATCGACCGCCGGCTCTTTGGCTCGCACATGTACCACAGACCGACGGCGCACCGCGTCTACGACACTCAGCTGGCCTACGACCCCGAGGGTGAGAGTGCACGACGCTGGCGCTGCCCACCGCCCACCGCGCGCTCACTAGTGTGCCTGTGTGCGCCGGCTGGCGCGTGTGACTGCACTGTTGCGGCTGTGTGTTGTGTCGGGCTGTGGACGGCCAGTGACGGGCGGCTGACGGCTCTGTGGACTGACTGTGTGTTGTGTCGGGCTGTGGACGGCCAGTGACGGGCGGCTGACGGCTCTGTGGACTGACTGTGTGTTGTGTCGGGCTGTGGACGGCCAGTGACGGGCGGCTGACGGCTCTGTGGACTGACTGTGTGTTGTGTCGGGCTGTGGACGGCCAGTGACGGGCGGCTGACGGCGCCGGCAGGTCTGCTCGGCACGCTCACCTCCTGCGTTGCCGTGTTCCTGGGCTCGGTAGCCGGCCGCCTGATGGCCACGTGCAGCGGCGCCCCCGAGCGGCTGGCGCGACTCGCCGGCTGGGCGCTGCTGCTGGTGAGTCCGAGTCGGCGCCCACGGCGCCCCCCGCCCAGACGGCCCCGGCACCGCGCCTAATCAGACATAAGCAGGGATCCCAGTGGATCTGGAAGAAAACTGCAGGTTAGAATCTATGATTCCACCGGATCTGGCATGACAAACTTCATCTGAATCTATGATCTCATTGGATCTGACGATGAACCAAGAACATGGATCTATTATCTGAGTGGATTCCACCATGCACAGTATTTGAAAGCAGGTTTCAAGTGTTTCTGTCCATAAGTGCCACAAAACTATACATTTGACGTGCAGTCACATAAAATCAATAAAACAGAACGTCTGTGAGTTGCAACAAGTAATTTTCGGGATTTCTGTTGACAAAAAAATAAGTGAGGAATTTAGGGTGGCACTTATTCTGGGGGTAAAAATAATATTTTGGATTTTTAACGGGACACCCCCGCATTGCATTCCACTTGACATAAAAACAAGATGTACAAAACATTTTGGAAATATATAAAAAAATAGAGGTCGCTCAACGAGGTCAAAGTTTCATTTTTCCTCGTAAAAATCAAGTTTCCAAATTTAAGCTTGCGACTAAATCGAAGTTGAAAAACAACGTTTTTGTGCTTCAAGATTCTCAAATGTTGCTGACAGACATACCAAATGCCACGTTTTTACTCTCTTTCAACTGATGTGTCCACAGGTGGAAGGCGAAAAGGCCGATTTTTTCATTATTTTCACTACATGTAAACTGTGTCATACATTACTGTAGCGTAACGTAGATATACGTGGTGTAGCTGCACAATGGGATGTAAGCGGTGTGAGACAGCTTCCACCGCGGAACCAGTCAGCCAGAAAACCGAGCAGCCGGTGACGTCCACTTTAGACAAAGACAAGACCGTCCTCCTCGCGCATACTGTGCGCAAACGTGTAGTAGTCACGTGACTTTCATTCACGTAGCGGGAACGGAAGCTATAGGCGATACAAGGACGGGATCTGGGGAGGCAGCCGGCACAGAAAAATAGCACAATTGTAGTTTTGGAAGAATATCGGTTGCGGTAAGAGGAATTACCTATACAAAACATACGTCCTAGGAGCAAACATGTGTTATTCCTCCATACTTTGCGCTACATTTCCTTTCTCCAATGATGGCCAGCACTTAGCAAATAATAGCACATTTCTAAATTGGTAATATATGTGTATAGTCGGTCAAATATGTATCTTTCCCGGCCGCCAAGTGGCGCTACGGTCTGGATTCGATAGTTGGCTGAGCCCACACCCCAGCTGCCCTGGCGGCTCTGGCGGCCCTGTGACGTCACGCGCGGGGGGCGGAGCTACACAGCGGCCGGCTGGAGAGTGACCGCAGACCAGCACTGGACGGCCTCGCCGCCGGGTGCTCCGGCGGGTCTGGCCGGGAGAGGCGAGCAAGCGGATGCGTTAGGAATCTAACGAATGTGAGGGCAGCGCGATGGTCTAATGATGGCTGTGCTTTCATGCGCCGTGTAAATTATAGACTGAGTGCTATGAGCTATCAAAGGATTATCTGGTGTTTCAACAGGGGTCGCTGACCTAAAAATTAAGATGGTTGCTCTTGATACGATTGAATGCTTGGTGATATGATGATTAGCGCAAGAGAAATATTTAATCGAATTATGACCGGTTATTTTTTGATAAAGCAAAAACTTTTTTCATTTTTTTTTTGGCATTAACGGGAAAGCGTTAAGCCATATCTACTGAAAATCTTAACCTGCGCCGGGCCGGGGGGGGGGGCGATTTGCGCCCCCCCCCCCAGGTTTTTCGCAGATAGCCGAAAAAACGGCGGCGTGCAGCGCCACCAAATTTTGCATACCTGTTTTTCCATCTATTGCGCATACTGTGTGCGAATTTTGACCTTATATGACTTAAGGTCAGGTCAACAGTTCGGTTTGAGTGACCTAACGTCACAAAAAGTTTGAACTTGCACCAAAGCTACAACTGTTGACCGATCGATATGAAACTTTCAGGAGTTAGTAAGGGTGACAATATCCACAAAATGTATGTCTCGGATTTTTTTATCTATGACCTGAGGTCAGGTCAATCTCACAACCTCCCCATTATAAGTCAATGGGATAAATTTCAACTTCATCTGAATGCCACCCGATCCACACAATATATTCAGGATCATGGTGTTGCAGGTCCCTGGTGGTCATTCCACCGAAAGATGTCACGGGTGACCTTTGGAAGGTGTCGCTAGGTCATCCGAGGTCACCTGAGGTCACCAGCGGGGGTTTTCTGCAATAACTTTTGAGTGAATAGAAATAGAGACTCCGTTCGACGTTTATCATGTTTGTCTGATCAATGCGGATCGAATGATATGCAACATGACCTATTTCAGTCAGGTCATGACCTTGACCTTAGGTCAAATTTTCAACTTGACCTTTCGAGGTCACATGATATAGCTTTCGATGCGCTTTGACAAGCTAAGAACGATGACGTTCGAATCGATCCTTTATCTTGTCTGGATCAAAAGCTATTTAAGAAAAAGTATCAGAAGTAAAAACGTTTTTTATCGCTCTTTCGAACGCCGCCTACCGCTTGTCTCTACGACGCTCAGGAGTCGAGTTAGACGGGGGGGGGCGTAAAACCGCCCCCTCCTAAAACAACCTCCTAAACCAACCCTCCTAAAGATTTCTGCAACCGTTCTACCCTCATCACTCAACTGAATAATTCTCCCCTTTTCAAAAACGGTGCAGTGATACGGCATCTCAAACCTAGAGCGACTACACTCAAGTTCAAGCTAACGGTCTCCACTCTCCAATTCAGATACCTATCGAAACCTTTCCGCGACCCGGTGCTGTGGCTCAATCAGTGGGCCAGCTGGCCGCAGACCATACCCGCAGGGCATGAACCTTTGACCATATTAGGTCAACACGCCGTGGCCCCAGCCCGCTCGCCAGGTCCGCGCTCATTGGCCGACGCGGCAACCGCACAACCTGTCCCCTCCCCTCCGTAGTACTCGCAGCGGCCGGCGGATTCAGCCAAGTTACCGACCTGCCCAGCGTGGGGAGGGCCAGCCGGGAAAGATACATATTTGACCGACTATACAGTAGCAACTGCGGGTCCCTGTACCAAAAAATCAATTCGATATCTTTGTTCGGGACCGAAATATTTCAAAAAATCCGTTTGTAAATCTTTCTGGCCCACCTTGTATATGATCGGTATGAGTTATTATGGTTATATTTGTGTAATATATGTATGGTATATTATAATGATGTAATATAATATAATATTGTTTACTATAATATATGATCTTATATTAATCTTATAATACAATATGATATGATATACATAATATGATACATCTATATTATGTGTGGGGTGACATTTCTTTATTTGTGCGTTTGTTTTGTGTGTTATTTGTTTGGGCGTTTGTGTCGGCCGGGTGCCGCTGGATGTCGGCCGGGTGCCGGTGGGTGTCGGCCGGGTGCCGGTGGGTGTCGGCCGGGTGCCGGTGGGTGTAGTCGGCCGGGTGCCGGTGGGTGTCGGCCGGGTGCCGGTGCGTGTAGGCGGCGCTCGGCTGCCGGTGGGTGTCGGCCGGGTGCCGGTGGGTGTCGGCCGGGTGCCGGTGGGTGTAGTCGGCCGGGTGCCGGTGGGTGTAGTCGGCCGGGTGCCGGTGGGTGTAGTCGGCCGGGTGCCGGTGGGTGTACATAGTCGGCGCTCGGCTGCCGGTGGGTGTACATAGTCGGCGCTCGGCTGCCGGTGGGTGTACATAGTCGGCGCTCGGCTGCCGGTGGGTGTCGGCCGGGTGCCGGTGGGTGTACATAGTCGGCGCTCGGCTGCCGGTGGGTGTCGGCCGGGTGCCGGTGGGTGTAGTCGGCCGGGTGCCGGTGGGTGTACATAGTCGGCGCTCGGCTGCCGGTGGGTGTAGTCGGCCGGGTGCCGGTGGGTGTAGTCGGCCGGGTGCCGGTGGGTGTACATAGTCGGCGCTCGGCTGCCGGTGGGTGTCGGCCGGGTGCCGGTGGGTGTACTGTACATAGTCGGCGCTCGGCTGCCGGTGGGTGTCGGCCGGGTGCCGGTGGGTGTAGTCGGCCGGGTGCCGGTGGGTGTAGTCGGCGCTCGGCTGCCGGTGGGTGTCGGCCGGGTGCCGGTGGGTGTCGGCCGGGTGCCGGTGGGTGTCGGTGGGTGTCGGCCGGGTGCCGCTGGGTGTCGGCCGGGTGCCGGTGGGTGTAGTCGGCGCTCGGCTGCCGGTGACGCCTCCTCTGCGCGCAGTGCGGCGCCGGCGGCGCTCTCTGCCGCTTCTCGCAGGAGGGCGGCCCCATCCCGGTCAACAAGAACCTGTGGTCGCTGTCGTTTGTGCTGGCGCTGTCGGGCCTGGCGTCGGCGCTGCTGGCCGCCCTGCACCTGCTGGTGGACGTGTTGGCTGTCTGGCGAGGCCGGCCCTTTCACTACGCCGGTGAGCGCGCCGGGCCGGGGACCAGCCTCAGGCAGCTAATTCAGGACCATCTCTAAATAGCACTTGTTCAGCTGCTAAATGCGGCATTATATACATTATCCCTCGTCCTGGCAGGGCATTTTCCATAGCACGGCCTGGCAGGGGGGGAGGGGGGGTCGATGCGACCTCCCCTTGCGATTGGCTCCTATGGCACCTAGAAACACCAAATTTGGTAGGTAGGTGGGCCTCCTGGAGTTCTCACCGCTGTGCAAATTTTGTTGCTCTAGGTCATTATTTAGGGGGTTTTTGGGGGGTATGAATGTAAAAATTTCGCCAAAAACAGGTCAAAAGTTCTTCGCTTATAACTTTTTATCTAATGAAGATAGAGCAAAACGAAAAGCACCAGTGAACTCAGCACGTAAAGGCGCGTCAAATGATATACTTGTTTGCTTGCTTAATTCGTTTATGATGTAAGATAAAAACACCAAAACCACCCAACGTTTCGTGTTATTCACTTTTTCATTCACTTTTTCACTTTTTCACTTTATTCACTGCTTGCTTGCTTAAGTGTACTTAAAAGTTAGCACATCTTAACCCTATTCCGGGCGGGGGCCTTTAGGCCCCCCCCCCCCCATTCAGGTTTTTCTTGTGCCATTGCCAAACGCCGCAAGACTGAAAGTTCATACTCGGTGACTTTTTCTAAACATTTATTGCGCACATTTTGACAAAAAAAAAGTTGCCGGGTCAGGTCAGGTCAGGTCACCAGAGGCGGTTTGTTGACCCCCGCCTCAGAAAAGTTTGCAATCACGCCAGAGCTAGAGTTTTTGACTGATCAATTTCTTCTCTTCAGGTTTTAGTAAGGGTACCAGTATGTACAATTTGTATATCTCAGAATTTTTATATATGTGACCTGAGGTCAGGCCAGACTCGTGACCTTTGCATTGCAAGCCTATGGGGAAAATATTGAAACGCCTCCTGCTTCGTGTATCAAAACCACCCAATTCTTTCGGTATTATGGAAGATTATCTCATCGGTGATGATCCTGGTGCCGATTATTGACAGGGGCACCGGGAAAGGTCATCTGAGGTCATGTGACGTCATAAATCATTTTCTGTCAATAAATCACGACATGATGGTGCTTAAGACTTGTAAGTGGTACCAAACTGCTCGCCTGGTCAAGGAGCGTCGTTTGGTATGCAGCATGACCATACCCCATGCTGCTATACCCCATGCTCATTGGTGAATGACCTGACCTTGACCTCAGGTCAAACTTCAAATTGACCTGTGAAGGTCACCGCATACTTATTTCGCATCGCCTCGACGAGAGCAACAAAAAATGTGTTAATTTTATGTCTATATTATTAATTAGTTTAAAGGTTATAAAGTAACTAATTCTGAAACATTTTATCGTTGATGACCTCTGGTGACCTCGATATTGACTTGACCCGAAAATGTTTTGTATAAAAGTTGTAGATCTTTAAACGACCTATCAAACGCTGTTTGCCGTTTGTCGGTCCGATATGTAGTTTTTGAGATCTGAAGGAGGGCCGAAAAGGCCCCCCCCCCCCCCCGCCCAGAATCGAACCGTTCAGAGCCCGCCCGGAATAGGGTTAAGTATAACTTAAGTTTTAAGAATGGTCGAAATGCTTAATGTTGCATATCATTCGACTCGGCTCTTCAAGCGGAACAGAATGATACGATTTTGAAAGCTGTATCTTTATTATGTGACAAGTTCAGGGTTGGCAAATTTATGCCAGCAGCCGGTTTAAACCGGTTTAATCCATGGATTAAACCGGCTGGCATAAACTAATTTAAGCCACCCCGGTTTAAACCAGTGTGCACCAACATAATAAATGCCACTTACGTTAACTTGTCGTAACATCACTTGGGTTAAACTGCTTCTTCTCTTCCCATTTTCTGTACACACCTTTCAATTATACATGCTAACTTGTAATGTTTTTTTCCTGGGGGTTAACTTTATGTCATTCATTACTAGAGGTACAGGTTTACGCGATAACTGTATGTTTTGATTTATGTTATGTTACGGGTGCATTGGTTTGGGTGATTGACTTGTATTTTTAGATGTATTATTTGGATAGATTTGGGTAGCCGTTTTTAATTAAACTGTAAGGGTTGGTGATAGGTGCGGGGTGTTCAAGTGTTTTGTTGGTTAGGCCCTTTTTTAACTTAACCCTACCCCTACCCTACCCTACCCTACCCTACCATACCCTACCCTACCCTACCCTAAACTACCCTACCCTACCCCTACACTACCTACCCTACCCTACCCTAACCTACACTACCCTACCCTACCCTACCCTACAATCCCCTACCCTACCCTACCCTACCCTACCTTACAATCCCCTACCCTACCCTACCCTACCCTACCCTACCCTACCCTACCCCTACACTACCCTACACTACCCCTACACTACCCTACCCTACCCCTACACTACCCTACTCTACCCTACCCTACCCTACGCTACCCTACGCTACCCTACAATCCCCTACCCTACCCTACAATCCCCTACCCTACCCTACCCTACCCTAACCTTACACTACCCTACCCTACCCTACCCTACCCCACCCCTACACTACCCTACCCTACCCTACTCTACCCTACTCTACCCTACCCTACCCTACCCTACCCTACCCTACCCTACAATCCCCTACCCTACAATCCCCTACCCTACAATCCCCTACCCTACCCTACCCTACCCTACCCCTACCCCTACCCTACCCTACCCTACCCTACTCTACCCTACCCTATGTAGAGTTCGGAGTGTTCGACGTAGGTATCAAAATTTCATTTTACAGAGCACCGAATTTATTGTCTTGTGAAAGTTTAACTCATACAAAACAAGCATGAATTAAAGTATATAACATAAGACAATCTTGCTTGAATTTACTTGAATTGTGCCCGTCTAAAAACAATATCAAAACTAGAACACATAGCCGGAAACTACATCTTTTGAAATAACATTTTTCCTTTCAAATTATTTAACAGACGGAGCACGAGAAATTTAGGTCGTAAAAAGGCGCAACCTGATTCCGTGCTGAAACTAATGCAGCACCGCCTCTTTACCCCCTCCCCCGTTTCAGCACGTGCTCGCGCCGTCTTCTGGTAAGAGGAGCACAAGCTTGCTGATCGGCCTTCTAAGAATGGAGGTGCTCGTCCTCACTTCTGCGACACGAACATTGCCCTTTGCGTCAGGATACACGTTGATCACTCTTCCCATTTTCCATTCGTTGCGAGACGAGTCTGCGTCTACCAGGAGAACCATGTCATTTTCACGCAAATTTCTCTGAGGCTGGATCCACTTTTGTCGTACTTGAAGTGAACTGACGTATTCCTTCTTCCAACGGCGCCAGAATTCCGTCGCAAGGTACTGAACTAGTTTCCATCGCTTTCTTGAAAACGAGTCGGCTTCTGAGAAGATACCGGGTGGCAATGGCTGTGCCGAACGGTAGATGAGCAGATGGTTAGGTGTGAGCGCTTCCAAGTCCCTTGGGTCATCTGAGACAGGTGTGAGCGGGCGTCCGTTCAAAATCGCCTCTACCTCACACATGAAGGTGGATAAGCACTCATCCTCTAAAGTCTTTTGCTGCAGCAGAAAGTTCAATATTTTCCTCGTTTCGCGAATCAGGCGTTCCCATGTTCCTCCGTGGTGCGAGGCGCCCGGTGCGTTAAAAATCCATTTTACCTCTTTCTGCAGAAGTTCGTCTTCTATTTGCTGCTGATTCCAGTTGCGGATCTCTTCCTTCAGCTCCCGGCGGGCTCCCACGAAATTTGTGCCGTTGTCACATCTGATTATCCTTACTGCCCCTCGTCTGGCCATGAAACGACGCAACGCGTTTATGAAGGAATGAGTCGTCAAGGAGTGTACAACTTCCAGATGTACAGCGCGGATTTTTTGGCACACAAATATGACACCAAACCGTTTCACTGTGGCTCTACCTCTTTTGACATAAAAAGGTCCGAATAAGTCGACTCCAGTGACCGCGAATGGCGTCAAGTCCGGGGTGACGCGGTCTTGCGGGAGATCAGCCATTTTCTGTGTTAAAGGACGGCCGTGTAGTCTGCGACAGAATACGCAACGTGACAGCACGCGGCGCACCGCAGCCATTCCGCGAATAATCCAGAACCGTTCCCTAATCACTGACAAGACATGGAGACGTCCACTGTGGCCGATCTTGCGATGTGTGTCTGAGATAATCAAATCAGTCACATGAGACCTTGCTGGCAGAATCGCTGGGTGTGATGCTTCTGAGGCGTAAGCATGACTTAGTCGACCACCGACCCGTAGCACACCGCTCTCACAGACTGGATCTAGCCGGTAGATGTTACTCTTCTTGGTTATTTTCTTGTGCTCTGGAGAATGAAGAACGGCCAACTCTTCTGAAAAGGATCCTGCTTGAACGTACTTGACAATGCACATTTCAGCACTTTGAAGTTCTTCGACAGACAAGTCACTCGCTATGCCTCCATTGGTGACGTTTCTGCTCTCTGGCTTCTCTTCCTTCTTGATACGATCACGCAAGACTTGTTTCAATCGCATATAGTAAGCTACAGCTCTTTTAAGGCGGTACCAGTTGGAATAATGTTGCAGTAGCTTGTCAGTTGGCTGTGTTTCGGTGGACGTCGCTGACACCAGTTTTGGCATTTTTACTTCAGGGTCACCATCCATCACTGTTTCAAGTTCTTTGAATGGCTGCTCTGGCCACTTATCTTCAGGAAGCGTCAGGAACTCTGGCCCACGAACCCACATCGACTCATTCAAAAACTTTTCCACCGTTGTGCTTCGTGAGGCTTCATCAGCAGGATTCACCTTTGAAGTAACGTATTTCCACTGGTTCTCGTCGCTGTGTTCAAGAATGTAACCAATGCGATTTGCTACATAAATATGAAATCTACTTGTTTTGTTCTTGATATAACGAAGAACAGTTGTACTATCGGTCCAGAAAACTGTCGAGTCGACAACTGTTTGGAGTTCTTCTTTCACAACTAAGTCAAGGCGCAC